CCCCTTGAGGGAAGTACCTCTCTAAACTTAAACTCAGGTTTATCTCAAATCTTAGTCGAACTTCAGAAAAGAAAATGAGTATTATCTAATGATTAACAATAAGGTGATCAAGAGTATAATGCTGACAAACCCGGAGCTTACAAATGCTCATAATGAGAACTGGTTGTATCCTATAGAAACTCTGGTGGGTACTGATACTCGTAACACCACTCCTCTCTCATATGTTCCCTCTTCTTCTTTTTCTTTTACAGGTTGCACTTACCACCATTGCAACAATGTTGACTGTGAACTCAACGTGCTCTGACATGAAGTTGTCACTTTGTGCCTCGAAGTTCGTGAAAGAAATTACCAAGTGACAGAGAAAGCTCCTCACGACCGCCTGCGAGATGATATGATCGAGGACATATGGTTTTGGATGGTAGATAATGGCATGCGGCCTTTAAGTTGCACCCGATGTTAATATCCCCTTACCGGTTCTACTTTCCTTTCTCGCACTTCTATCAATACATTAAGGACAATGTATGATTTAAGTGTGGGGGAAAATTTTTTCCGCTTTCATAGATTAGATTTGCTTGCTTTTTTAGTTTAGTTTAGGTCCTTTAGTTTTTGTTGTTAATTAGTGTTATCGAGTTTTTGCATGTGTTGTTGGATCTTTTATGCGTGTGTTTCAACAATGTTATTAATTTCTCCTAATTCTTGAACTCATCCAAAAATTTTGAAATAACTTAAGATATCACACTATGAAAGTATACAAGTTACAAAGGAAAAGAGAGATTAGGTTAAGGACACTTGGGAAAATTTTGACAAAATTGGTATTGTCCCAATACCTAAAGCCTCCCGAATATAGATATCAATTTAAATACATGTTATGCCTTAATCCCAAATTTCAATTTGATAGTAATCCTTAAGTAATTTATCTATCCAATCAGGTACCATCTATAGTCACAGATTAAGTAGGTTAGTCGATGAATATAAGCAAAAAAAAATAATAAAAAGAGAAAATTGTATCTGTTAAGTTGGGTAATCCTCACTCGGTTACTTAGTCCAACAATGGTCGAACTTTTAAAAATCAAATGAAAAAATTGCAACTTTGATCAAAAAGATAAAATATACAAAAATAATAATAAATCGCTAACCGACTTTCCTACCATATATGTGACATTAGTATAGATAATTAAGGGTTTTAATGTGATTGTTTCGAATGAAAGAAGATGAAATAAATAGGAGAGTGAGACTATGATATAACAATATGATTTGAATCGATTTGCATAAGAGGGAGACTTTTGTCTGCAAAATGTGGTTTGTGTTGTCTCAATGCCCTTGGTGTTAACACTAGTACCTATCAAATTAACTTTAGTCGATCCGAATTTGTAACTACGTATGATTATTTGTGATGATATGTTTCCTTAAGACATTTTTGCTATGTTGCTGAACTTTAATTCACATGTTTTTATTGCAATCAAAGTTGCTCGAGGAGAAGCAACAATTTAAGTGAGAGCGAGTTTGATAACACGTAAAACACACCGCTTTATTAGTTCGATTCACACATGTTTTAGTATTGATTTTATATGTTTTTGTAGTGTTATGCTGATAGTGTATGTTTATTTCAAGTTGGAGGCCTCTACGCGATAAAACGATAAAAACAATGAAAACAGAAAGAAAATGCAAGTTTTCTACTGTCATGACGGACACCCTGTTAAAATGACAATTGTCGGCTCTCAGGGGGAGTCAACCTGTCAGCAAAAAATCAACAAAAAGAGGAATAGTTTGAGCCAGGTGACAGTTGGTCCGTCAGCAAGAAGATGCATGTCACGGTCATGACAGACGAAACATCAGCAGCATGACACATGTCATGACGTTGATCCCAATTTTTTTCACCCCCACTTTAGGATTCAATTTTCGCACCTCAATCACTCTCTCTGATACTCATGCACGAATAAGCGAAAATTAATCTATAAATAGGACATTTTGGCATTATTATAGGTAGGGGTGGACATTGGGTCGGTTTGGACGGTTTTGAGCTCAAAATACCGATCCGGCCCAAACCGCAGGTGACTAATAGAGACCCAATTCTGTCCACTTTCTTCATACGGTTTATCGGGTGACAGACTTTCAGATTTTCATATTTACGGACAGATTCATTCGGTGATAAAGAAATAACAAACCAATTCAGAAAATACAATTAGTAACAAAATTAGTATATCAAAATCTCATATCTAATTCATCAATACTTTTAAAACGAAAAAAAAAAGTAAAAATCAAAATTTTAAAAAGAAAAAACATACAAACTTTTAAGGAAAAAAACATCCAAACGCTAAAGAAGATTAAACTGATATTTGAGAATAAATAGATTAAGACAATGAAAAAAAAGAAGAAGAAATAGTGATTTTTTTCTTAGTCTTGCTGTGTGATTGATTGTCTCATTTCAATGCTCAAAGTTTAGAAGAAAAAATTGAAAAGAGTTGCAATGGTTGTGTAACTGTGTTTGTGCTTTGAAGAAGGAAGAAGAGACAATGAATGTGAACAAGTTTAAGATATACATTGACGGGAAATTCAAGAATTGGCTTAATAGCTATGTATTAAAGCTCATATACTTGTACTGATTTACAGGTTGTTTTGGATTCCATTGGTTTCAATTTGATGAACCGAACCGCCCATATAAACCCATATCAAACTCCAAAATATATAATACACATCCGCATACCCATTTCAAACCGCCCGTTTTCCTATTTTTATCACGGTTTTTGCGGGTTTTACCGGTTTACGGTTTTGTGTCCACCCCTAACTCTAGCATTCAGGCTTTGTAATAGTCATAAATTTATTTTGAAAAAACACTTACATCTTGTATTGAGGTGTGTATTTGTAACATTAGTTTTAAGAGTTTGTAGACTTATTTTATGCAAGTTGCTACTGCTATTTTCATTTTATTGTTGCTGAATTTTATTTTCAAGTTGCTATTATTCTATACCAGATTTAAAGTCTCCGATTGTAGCATTCTATTTTATTCAAGTTGACTTCCTATTCATGTCCTACATTTTGTTGCTTTTCTTTTATTGTCATTTTCTTTGTGCCTCATTTCATGCTTACTGCTTTTAATACCAACATGAACAATACAAATTTTAATTTTACCGTTTTTAATATGTCTCTTTAAATAAGTTGAGTTCGGAATGCGAGGATCTTCGCACCGACGGTACTCTAATAAATCATGAGTAATATTTAATATAAGGACTATTTTTAAGTCTGAAAATTATGTTTTTAACTCTGAAAATTTACTGCGAAAATAGAAATAGGGTGATAGCGATTTCAACTCGAAAGAGTGAAACCTGTGTCTAACCGTAGAAAATTCAGAAATTAATTTTAAGAAACAGAGAAAGCGCTTTTCTAATTAATTTAGAAAAATCTAATTTTCAAAAAAGGTGATTTTAAGATTATAAGCAGACACGCGAAAACAGACGTTTATACGTTTAAAATCCGGTACCGATCACGCGAAAACAGACGTTTATACGCTTAAAATCCGGTACCGATCACGCGAAAACGGACGATACCTTTAAATTATTTTTCTACTAAAAATAACTTTTTAAAGTAAAAAATGATTATCTTCCAAAAATGATTATGCATTTTAACATTGTACATGTGAAAGTAGGAAGATAGATTATAGAGTCAAAACCTGGTATTGGACACGCGAAAGCAAATGGTACCTTCAACTTAATCCATTTTCTAGCAGAAAGCATTTCCTTGATACGATTTTGTGAGTGTCATCGGTCGACAAGAATTTCATTTTGATCTCTCGTTATAGTTAATTTTCAAATCCAGCTTAATTTCCAATTCCTCAAACAAAACTTATTTGCATCGCCTTAGATAAACAACTTAGTAGTAGAGAACGGTACTTGTCACTTGGATTCTATGAGATTCGACATCATTTATACTAAAACCAACAAAACCATGCACTTGCGGCCGCATCATCTTCCTTCATTAGGTCCTAACATTCCTTTATGAAGTTGAGGTCTTGGTCTCTGTTAGATTCGACATCAGTTATACTAAAACCAACAAAATCGTGGACTTGCGGCCGCGTCATCTTCCTTCATTAGGTCCCAACATTCCTTTATGAAGTTGAGGTTATAACTGTCTAGTCTCAGACTTCTTCATTAGGTCCCAACATTCCTTTATGAAGTTGAGGTTATAACTGTCTAGTTCAGAATTTTGTTCTCATCGCTATTCCAAATCAACTCTTCTGAAAATTGTGCTTCCAAGGCCCCGAAGCATCTACCTCGTCGAGTTGATAGAAACCAGCTCCATCAGGAACCGGTCTCTTGATCCGACTACCATCAAATCTACTTTCAAAATTATTCTTGACTTCAATCTTGATCTCTGTCACTCCTCCAATCCTTCAATAGTCACACCTTCTTTTTGAAGGACTAGGAATTGATTCTTCCTTCTGCAGTGTTTTAGGCTGCTCTAAAGGAATATGGAGTTTGAATCTCCTTGATCCACTTTTCTTTCTCTGGGTTTTTGTCATTGTAAACTTTCTGCGAAGCGAATATACTAAATGGTCACCCTCACCCTAAAGACAACCTTCCTTGAATAACTCATGATGTCTTCACTTGAAGATGTCACTGCACTCACGACAACCTTCCTTGAATAACTGATGATGTCTTCACTTGAATATGTCACTGCACTCACTCTTTATATCAACGGAACCAAATGCAAACAAACATTGGTTATGTGAATATACAGGTAATCAAATCTATGAATTATATGCTACAAATATGATGTTTTGCTGGTTCAGAAAGTGTTCTTTCAATCATACAGAACATAAAAACTTAGTGGCTTCTCCGTATGGTTGCAGGAATTGTGCAGTTTTGACCACCGCGGTTGTCTGTCCACAAATTACCTCGGTTGTTACCATTTACAGCAATGAAGAATCCTATAATTTGCCTCAAACAGACAGCATCTAATCTTGATACCAAAATAACACATTTTCTTCCTCAAATTTCAGCCTCTTACTTGAATATAAAATTTGGAAACACAGTCGTGATATCCCTGCAAGATGACAAAGTGACACAATCAGTTACAAGTTTTAGAATAAATTGAGACAATCAACCGTTGAAATTTCAATAAGTGTTTAATTAAATTGTTTATCGTGACAAGAATTTTATGTGGATTGTTCCCTTCAGAAAAGTTGGACCAAAGTAAGAAAGAATGAAAATTTTGCATACTTCAAATAAGGAAGTGTCATGTTCTTCAATAGGGACGGATTTCGACTCACAAAAGCTTTCCAATCTTCTTTACTGATTTTACCATCATTGTCTTGATCAACATCGGCGATTGTCTGCAGAAAAAACAAAGGTCCTGTAATCAATATGCTGCACTGAAACTAAAGTTTCATGTTTCGCCACTAAAAGCTGACCTTGTCAACAATAGCTTCAAGAAGATCATCAGAAAGATTCATTTCAGATTCCATCAAAATAGCTATAACCATTTGCTTGACCTAGTAAACAAAATAAACCAAAGATTTAAAGCTAAATAAGCTTATAATACAAAATATGATGTTGCTTAATTGAACTGGTACAGTATACTCACTTCCTCTGGCTCAATGAACCCTGTTTGTCTTAGGTCATAGAGCTTAAATGCAACTGTCAAATCATAACCATGAGACACAGATTAAATTTGAACAAAAATTTGAATTTCTTTCTTTGCATAAAACTATAAGTTTGTCTTCAAATTGAACATACAATCTATTTTTTCATCCATAGGAGCGTAAGGATGGAAAACACTGAGCGAATGGACAAATTCTTCAAAATCGACAACACCGTTTCTCTTTTCATCAAAAAGATCAAAAACCTAAAGAAGAAGCAGAGTTTAACATGTTAGTTTATTCATGGCATCATTTGTGATGGTGTTTAGCTTTTACTAACACTGTAAAAAATATTCATACGTACATCCAATCAATTACATCATAGTGTTGGTTCGCTAAGTTAGTCTCTCAAAATCAAGCAACTATTATGCATTATTCATTTAACCTTGTTATATTCACATAGTCATTTTATTATAAAGTAATTCTATTATAATTCAACTTCATTTCCAATATACTAGTAATAAATATATAGGAACTGCTTACTCGATCCAGAAAAAGATTTTCTCCATTTGGGGTTTGAAATAGTGCCAATTGAAGCTCCACCTACAATTGGAAAAAAAAAACAAGCATCATGATTAGTGATCACCGCACCAGTGAATAAAGTGAAACCCTCAGTGTGAAAACTTGCATTCCATCATAGAAACCAAATATGCGAAACCGGTTAACATATTGATCTTACCTTGTGAATCAAGCCATCATCAATTACAGAGCTACTTATCTTTTTAAACAGTTCATGCAATGCCTCCACTTCATTAGCAGTGACTACATTATTAACAGCAGAAAAGCTGATTACTCAAACCTATTGTTGTTCAAAGTTCAAACTAGCAAATCACAGTTTTATTACATGCAAGTTCAAAACTTGTGTTACACTATAAGTTTAATTCCATCCCATATAAAACTATATGTCAGGCTTATAAATGAAGGCCCTTGAAGGGATACATTAAGTTTTATTATAATGCAAATTAATTATTCAAAACAGTTCACTAAATTATATAGTATGGAAAGTGTTTATCATGCAAAATAGAGCATAATTAGATATGATTGAAACTTAGAGAAGAAAGGGAAACTTTGACTTGAAAAGTTTACCCATAAGATATAACTAGCGAGTGAAATTTAAAGACCAAAGGGAAACTTTGACTTCAAACTTTAAGCAGATAGAATAGGTTTTAAAAAAGGGTCCGTTACTGACAAAACCGTATTGGAACATAAAATGACAAAACGGCTGTGAAAATAATTATTCACAGTTTGTATAATAAAAAGGAATTGTAGTTAATTCACAACGCGACTACCACATTCAGTGTCGCAACACTTCAACTTACCAATATCGCGAAAGCCTTTATCCGACGGAATCTTGGTTAGAATAATTGAATAGACCTTAGGACCACATGAAGCTGGCATGAAACCCGACTATGCATAAAGTTATACAAACTTTTCAACAATAATCAACTATGGTAGATGTATAAATTAATTATATAGTTGTTTGTCACGTGAAAGAGAATCTATCACATGATAATTTAATTATATAGTAGTATATGATTTGTGTATGACCTAATGAATGTATGAAAATGGAAGAGTAATTGCGAAATTGAAATGATTGAAAGAGGGGGTGGAATGAGTTACATCTGGTTTCTTGAGCAAGGCGAGCGAAATCGGCAGCAGTATAAGAAGATTTGTGAGAACGAAAAACGGAGAGCGGACGATGAGAGTTGAAACAACCTGCAACGGCGAAGACGAAAACCTCGACGACGGCTATGAGCGGCATCAACGCCGCATAAATACATTTCCCGATTGTTCTAGAGCCAGACGCAGCCTGATGCATGAAAAAAAAACTTCAATTAATTCATGAAAAATGGAAATATTCTGTAAAATTAGTGAAATGAAGAAAAAGGTTACAGAGGAATCTGTGGGCATGATGATGGTTTTGCAGGTTGATGGAAGAAAAAAAAGCTATGATTATGGAAAAGGAAGTGTGTGCTGCATTGTTGGTTGAATTGGAGTTGAATAATTCTATTTTCTATTTATAATCTTCCATATTTGTATTCTAACGTTAAAATATCTAATCATCCAAAAATTAATTTTCACCAAGTATCAAAATCCTATAGAAAACTCTAATGAGTTATATAGATCATCAATCAGTGTCCCCGTCCCAAATTATATGATGCTTTTAATTTTTTACACAAGTTATGAAAGATAATTAATGTTGCATAAATAAAAGAAAAGTTTACTATAATTTTACACTATTTTTCTTCATTTATTATAGATGGAAGAAAAATTTTAAGATTAAAAAAAATAAATAAATAATAGAGGATATATTGAAAAAAATATCAGAAATGTTGCATTAATTATCCTAACTTTCTCTTATATCAATCATCAGCTACTCTCTCTTTCTCACAATTGATAATAGTGTGAAAATGAAAAAGTGATAATGATATTTTTACTAAAATAGTAATAAAAATAGTAATGATAAAAAAAATTAAAATTGAAAAAAAAATTATATTTTAAATTGAAATGACTGAATCATTTTAGAGACGGAGAGAATATAAACTATCATCTATTTCTTCTATTTTATAAGAAATGTCATATTTAAACGATGCATAATTCTTATAAAATAATTATATATGTTAATTTTAATAGTAAAACTAATATCATTTATTAAAGGACATTAATTAATTATAATTGATAGAGTGGTTGAATAAAGTAATAGTTAACAAATAAATGTATAATAGTAAAAAAATAATAATAAATACTATATTGATATGGTAAATGCACAATTATTTTAATTTTAATACTTTTTAATAGATTGGTTGAGTATTTATTATCAATGGTTAGTCGATCAACTATCAACTAATTTGTCAAATAGAGTTAAGTTTATTAATATTTAAATTTAATGCTAGTTAATCTGATTTAAAACCGTGTATAAATCCGTATGTTAAATTTTATTTAAAAATTGTATATTGATTTGATTAAAATTTTAAATTAATTTTTTATTACTCAACCTAAATCTTTTATTTGTATTTTATTTATAATCATTGAGCTAATTACCCTAAAGATATCATGAAGAAATTGTTGCTCATCTTGCTTTATTTAGTCTGATTTTTGCTCGCATTTGACATTTGGTGTTGGCTTGGTTGGAGTTTGAAGGTTTCTCTATTTCCACATCAATTCTTTATCACTTTTCCAACTTTGATATTCTATTTTCAGGAAGAATAGATAAGGATTTTAGAATGTTTTGTTTGGAGTTTTTGCTTATCTAGGAATGTTATTCTTTTTAAAAGGGACTTGGTTAATGAGAAGGAGTTAGTTTATTTAGTTAAACTTCATTCTTGGGATTGGTTTGAGGTTAGTTATAAAGTTTCTATTTATCTAATTTGTTAGATTGGCTTGACAACCTCTTACTGTGAATTAGCTATGTAGTTGTAGGATGTTTGACTGGTATTTTTTCCTTTCCTTTCTCCTTGTATTAGATTGAGTATCCTTTATATTCTTTTCACTATATTATTTTGTTTATAAAATAAAAAATATATTGTAGTTATATGTACCTAATACATTCAAAGAAAGCACCATCAATACGGTTATTTTGTTGTTTGTCTTATCGCTTTCGTCTTTCACTTGCGTTCGATCATTGAGTCTCATTCATGATTTCACGTCTCTGAATCAAGTTTTGAAAAGATTCATTCACTATGTCAAAAAATACCTTTAGCAGCGCTTTTTTTTACCTTTACGGCACTTAAAAGCGCTGCCTAAAGTAGCGTTGTTGTAGGTAAAAACAACGCTTTTTTAAAGGTAAAAGCGCTGCTAAAGGTCTTCTTTAAGCAGCGATTCTTTATAAAAGCGCTGCTAAATGTCTTCTTTAAGCAGCGATTCTTTATAAAAGCGCTCTCTAATGTCACCTTTAGGCAATGCTTTTAAATGAAAAACGCTCTCTTCCCCCCCCCCCCCCCCTTTAGCAGCGCTTTTTAAAAGCGTTGTCTAATGTATTGTTTCTGCAGACTTTTAGCAGCGTATTTTGATGAAAAGTGCTCTCTTTTTCCCCCTATAACAACGTTTTTGAGAGTGCTTTCTAATCTATTGAATTTAGCAACACTTTTAAGTTAAAAGTGCTATCTTCCCCCCCCCCCCCCCCCCCCAGCAGCATTTTTCAAAAGCGTTTTCTAATGTATATTTTGTTGAGGTTTTAGCAGCGCTTTTCTGTAAAAGTGTTGCCTTAGGTCCACTTTTGGCAGCGCTTTCTTTTATTCACGTTAATGGATGTTTTCAAAAGCACTTTTTATGGAAGCTTTTTTTTTGTTAGAAGCTTCGTCTATTGTGCATTTTTTAAGAAGCGTTTTTTGTTAAAATCGTTGTCATAAGTCTTATTTTTTACTTATAAAATAGAACCACATACCATATAGACCTTATATACATTTATAATTCAACACATAAACCTGCTTATAACCATTATAATTCAACACAAGCCTTTATTTCAGCACATAGACTATATACCATTATAATTCAACACATAAATCTGCTTATAACCAATAATTCAACACAACTTTATTTCAACACATAGACTATATACCATTATAATTCAACACATAAACCTGTTTATATCCAATAATTCAACACAACTTTATTTCAACACATAGTCCTTATATATATATATATATATATATATATATATATATGTATATATATATATATATATATATATATATATATATATATATATATATATATATATATATATATATATATATATATATATATATATATATATATATATATATATATATATATATATATATATATATATATATATATATATATATATATATATATATATATATATATATATATATATATATATATATATATATATATATATATATATATATATATATATATATATATATATATATATATATACACATACACAAACCTTATAACCATTAAAATTCAACACATAAACCTCATAACCATTATAATTTAACACAAACCTCTATAATTCTAATAAAACATATCCACTTCCAAAACCTTTAACTTCTAAATATTCATTATACATAATTACAAGTTCCATAAACTCACAACAACTTTTAGAAGTACAACAACTTGCAAAACTATACAACAACTTCCAAAACATTCCTATTCGGTAGTGCAGAACATCACAACAATTAAAATCTCTAAAGACCATAAACTTCACACAAAATAAAGAAATACAATATATACATTATATAATTCTCGTCTCAAGAATGTATTGACATCAATCCTCCTTAATTTATTCCCGTTTATCTTTTGAGTAAGTAGCACACTTGAATTCATCAAAGTACTACATAATATAACATAATATGCATGATTTAGTTAAAACCAGTTAATATTAGATGAAATATATATCCGCTAAATATTAAATAAATCTTAACTTATAAATCCATACCGTGTTTGGAATCTCAGTACAAAATAATCGTAATCTATACCATTACGCTGTCGAGGACACTACACATAGAAAAAAAGAAAACGAATATATATCAGGATATATAGTTTAACTTGTTTTATCAAGTAACGTCATTATTATAATCAAAATTGTGAAAATATATTTGCACTCTGTTCCATGTAATGTTGTTTTCTTTACTCTTTGGTACTCGAGCTTGTCTTTGTGATCAGAATATTT